GGGTGTAGGCCACAATGTCCCAGGTTGCTTAAAGCTCTTAGCAACCTTTGACACCTAGTCCAGCTTCCTGTCCAGCTCACTGACGTCATCAGTTGCCAGGGAGCTGAGCGTGATGTTCTGGTTGGCGTCCCACCGAGCTCCTGGCAACCAGCGAGGTCAATGAGCTGAGCAGGACTGGACAAAGCTGCTGACAGCACAGAACCGCCACAAAATACCCCCCCAGCACTATCAGCAGCACGGCCACCTCCCACTCTACTGCCTCAGGCAGCATACAGGGTAGGGACAGCACTGCCTGTAGGTCCCACAAGGCAATGATGGACAGATTACAACATGTTGAAAAATATAATGGGGGAAATTTATCACAACTGGAGTAGACAAAATCTGAAGCAGATTTGCACTGCAACCAATCAGCTTCTATCTCTCATTTTCAAATCTCAACTAAACAAGCTGAAGAGAGATGCTGATTGGTTGCCATGGGCAACTGCTCCAGTTTTGATAAATTCCCCCCACTGTGTATATTAAAGTCAAAAGGTTTTTAAGCTATTTCCAATGCCGATTACGTCCCGTACAATGGATGCTGCTTCTTGATGTTTAAAAGTTTTAGTTTGCTGCAGAATCAGTTGGTCATCTGAGCCCTGATATCCTGTTTTAGGATGGCTCCTTTCACTTGCAGTGTCCTATGGAGCCCCCCATGTGTGTGCAATAAGCTTTGTGTGTCTCCACAAACACACGGACACAACAAGGCGAGTCACTCCCCTCCTCCTCCCTTCTTCCATCCTCAAGCTAGTAGATGGACAGCTGCTGGAGTCTACTCTGTCCCTTGTGAGCTTGTACTGATAGGAAGTTCAGGGAAGCGACCTGAGAGTGTTGGAGCCAGGATAATGTATATTTGCTTGATCTGGATTTATTATTGAAAACATTTTTACGAGTTTTAACTACTAAACTGCTTTAACAAATGATAGGCTCAATTCACTAAGATGGACAATTTATTATAACAAGACTACTTTTACTTCATGATCATGTTCTCCCAAAATGTTCATTTACATTTTTTACTTGCAGTGAATATTCTGTGGAAAGTCCTATTGTCTCAACATTTTTTACTCATGTGAAGTGTCTTTTTTTCCTTACTTCTCTATAGACAGCTATTGAAACTCCTAGCTATCAGCCCCCAAAGCCATACAGGGGGGTAATCTTTGAGACTTTTACCTTGAATTTCTAATATGGGCTGATAAAATAACACAACAATAGAACCATAGTAGAGGTAAAATACCACTACTTAGACCTCATTCACACAGCTTTACGTTGGGCAGTACACATCTGTGTGGCGTGCACGCCCGTATTGGGCCGTTCCCGGGAGGGACAGGTGCTGCGTGTAGCAGCCTGTTCTTCCCTATGGGAAGCTGCGGCCGTACGCACACCCGTGCAGGTCTGGGTGTCTTTACTCGGACGCAGACAGGATGGATCCTGCCTGCGTCCGAGCACGGACACCTGGACCCGCACGGATGTGCAGTTTGGGTGTGCGTATGACCACATCCTCCCATAGGGAAGAACAGGCTGCTGCATGCAACCACACGCAGCACCTGTCCCTCCCGGGAACGGCCCGAGAAGGCCGTGCACGCCACACGGGTCTGTACGGCCTGACTTAATGCTGTGTGAATGATGCCTTATAGAGATCAGGGGCGTCCCGAGGCTGGGCGTCTCTAGACCGGGTGACACCCCGCCGTGTCGTCATTACACGTGCGTGTGACGTCACATCGCGCATTGCATCCATCTGATTGACTCCTGCCAGTGGCCATCTTGGTGATGGACACCGGCAGAGAGAGGAGGGGACGTTCCCCGGCGGGATGAGGTATTCCGCTGGTTCCCCTACTCTCTCCTGACATCGTTGGACTCCATGACCGAATTCCCGACTTTTTAGAGGGGGGGACACCAAAATGACTGGCAGTCATTTTGGTGTCACCTCTGCAATGGTGTCACCCGCGTGCGGGCCGCAGACCCCGCGTGGCGCCACTGATAGACATTATTAATAAATAAAAGCTGAAAGCTGAGTTATACGGGAAAAATGAGTAGCAGTGAAAAAATAACGCCAGGACAACAGGAAAGCAGCTCTGTGAATGACATAGTAGGTAAGGCTGAATAAAGACAAGGGTCCATCCAGTACAGCCTATGTATATATGTGATTGTGTGTCTGTAGTTATCTTGCTCTAACACTTCCTATTGATTCCGGTGTATTTATTCCTGATGATAATAAAGCTGCAGTGATATATTTGAGTATACTATGATTTTTAATATGGCGTCTTTTTTTTTTTTTATTAATAACTACATTTTCTTTCATCTTAATAAAGCGGATCGTCAAGCTTTTTATTTACTGGAGGCTAAGGATTGAAATTTAAAACCAGCTCATGATTATTTTGTCATAGGGCATTCCAGGGAAGACAACAGGAGAGCTTCACTTATGCGTTTCATGCAACTTTGAGCTTAATCAGAGTCTGTGACCAAGCACAAGGTGAAACGCGTAAAAGCTCTACTGTTGTCTGTCCTGGAATGCCTTATTGATTCTAGTAATAGAACCCGCAACTTATTCATGGAGTGCCGCTATCCTTTATTTCCACTATAACGCAATTCCATTCTTGAGAGCTACACAATGCATACTGCACTGCACATGTGCAAAAGTTTTAAAACACTGCTTGTAAGGAGGGAAATAAGTACATGCATGTGTGCATTTTTCTTTTACAGAAGAGACATGGAAGGGCTCCTATATGATTTATTTTAACTCTTATAGGTTTGGTCTTTGTCCGTTTGCAAAAAGTAATAAATGCAGCAATGCTGATCTAAGTATCAATGTGCAGACCATTGGTGGAGGGAGGGCAGGGTAGGGAGCTCTGCATATGCTGTGGTAGGACATGTAGGAATTCTGACTGGATGGTGCGGGTGCAGCAATTGTATCTCCATGAGGGACTTTGTGGTAGTAAATGCGGCAATGGTGATCTAATGATCAATGTGCAGACCATTGCACCCACGATCAGAGCATTGCAGGCGCAATTTATAGGCTCTTGCAACATTTTCCCCTTGCCTCTGGTCTGAATGGAGATATGGTCCTGCTGGAGGGAGGGCAGGGTAGGGAGCTCTGCATATGCTGCGGTGGGACATGTAGGAATTCTGGCTGGATGGTGCGGCAATGCACAGACATGCTAAATTCAAAGGATCACAAGGTCCTGCATGGAGATATAATTCAGATAAAGGGGGGCAGGGGAGATTTGGGTTTTGTGTATGGTGTATGTGACCTTACTTCATCTTACACCCTAAATATGGGAGAATCTGGCTCTAAAATGTGGATGTGTGGACTTTTCACATAGATGGCTTCCATACTGTCTCAGCTGGAGAGATTGATCCCCAGCTGAGTCAGATCAGAAGTGAAATGGATGCCACATATGTGTCCATTCAGTTTTTTCCTCCATCTTGTGATGAAGGAAGAATGGACCCATGTAATCCCTACTGGTGGCTGGATGTATGTAGAAGTGCGTCTGCCTATAACCGGTCCGGTCCACAAAAGTTTATTGAATTCAGTTTGCCTTAATCTCAACGGACCTGAATGTAAGCCCGGTGTAAATGGACGCATGCCAGCTTACATGTATATCCTTAACAGATGAGTGACCCAAGGTACAGAAGCCATGGGATCAGCATACATATGATCAGCAATTTTCATTTCCACAAGTGGTCAGCAATGGCAGCTGAGGCATTTCTTGCAGTACAGGTCGGAGGAGGCTGCCGATTACCTCCTAAAAATGCTCATGGGTGTCTTCAGCTTCAATGTATTTATTGTGTATGTGAATACCCTGAAACACATATATAAAAAGTGAAGGCAGAGATAGCCAGTCATCTAGTATTTTCAAAAGGAAGTCAATGGCAGCCAATCTACTCTCCTCTCAGCCCCATCTAGAGATCTTGTGTTCAGAGGACAGAATGTGAAGAGGGATCTGGGTCATAACGAGGGATTATTAGGTGGGATACACCAAAGTCATGAACCACAAAGACTTGTGCTGAACCACAAGCTGCAGCATGCTCTGGCCGAAGTTGGTCCCCCTCAATGCCCTGGGCAGAGTCAACCCTTCTGTTGCACAGGTCCAAGCTGGAACCCCCCCTGCACAGGTCAGATCTGACCCCCCTATGGTCTGAGCTGACCCCCTCTATTGCACAGGTCAGAGCTGTCCCCCTCTATTGCACAGGTCGGAGCTGGCCCCCTTTATTGCACAGGTCAGAGCTGACCCCCTTTATTGTACAGGTCGGAGTTGTCCCCCTTTCAATGTACAGGTCGAAGCTGGCCCCCTCTATTGCACAGGTAGGAGCTGTCCCCCTCTATTGTACAGGTCGGAGCTGTCCCCCTCTATTGCACAGGTCGGAGCTGTCCCCCTCTATTGTACAGGTCGGAGCTGTCCTCCTCTATTGTACAGGTCGGAGCTGTCCCCCTCTATTGTACAGGTCGGAGCTGTCCCCTTCTATTGTACAAGTCGGAGCTGTCCCCCTCTATTGTACAGGTCGGAGCTGTCCCCCTTTATTGCACAAGTCGGAGCTGTCCTCCTTTAATGCACAGGTCGGAGCTGTCCCCCTCTATTGTACAAGTCGGATCTGCCCCCCTCCGGTGC